GGGGTTGTTGCTGTGACACAGTAATAAGCTACTGGGTCTGCATCTCTTTGTGTTTCTCTTATTATTGAGAAAAAATTGCATTAATATACCTTTACTGGATACATTACAAACTGAGATACAATATTGCTTTAAAGTTGATTTGAGCTGTGGTGAGAAATGCCCCATGTGGTGGATATTGTTTTAAATCATGTATAAATCAAGTTTAATGTCAGTTGAAAGATGCTTGCTATGTTAGATATTAAAACAGTTAAACCGCTGTCCAAGCTCTTACAGAGGTGAGTTTACATTTTTGTGTCTTGTGTGCTTGGATGTTGCTATCTGCCTGGTGCTCTGTTTTTCTGAATATGGCAGAGGGTATGCAGGCTGCAGCGACATCCCTTTGTGTCTACATTCTCAGATAACAACGTCCTAAATATTGCAGGGAGTGCTCAGGTCAGCCTTTGCTCTTTGCCTGCAGACTGATTTCTGTATGCACCTCAAAAGACAGATCTTGTGTCCTTGACTTTATTTTAATATTTCCATAACCAGTGTGAAAACTCTTCTGTGGCTCTGGAGGGAGGTTTTTCAAGTCTCAGTGGATCCCATCAGGGCTCCGATTCAGTGTTTTTGGAAACTGATAAATACAGTAATAAGGACAAAAATTCTGGCTATCTCTGTATCCTCTTTGACCACTCTTACAAAAAAATTGTTCTCTGAACTTTGTAGAAATTTGATACTAAATCATTAGAGAGTCATTTTAAAGTAAAAGGTAAAGGTGCCCTGTTGGGTTTATTTTATTGTAAACAAAGTTTGTCTACATTCATTGTTGCTTTGTAAACCTGTAAAACACATTCTGCATGTCCTTGAGTTACAACGAATGCACTACATGGTTTCTCTCCTTCAGAAATCGTTTGCTAAGATGATATTTTCTAAACTTCGGAAACCTGCACTGGTTACATCCACGTCAACTCACTATCAGTCTTCTTCACTGCCTTTGCTAGTGCATTGCTGTGCTTTTAGCACCAACTCTGGATTAATGGAACAGTGTGAAAATGTTGACATGTGTAGGCTACTGTGTGTGCATTATTATGTCTGTGTTATAAAAGACCTGTTAGTGCTGTGATACACTGCATGTTACAGGGAAGCTGTAAAACAAAAAGAAAGTGAAAGGTTAGGCAGAGTGGGCAGTGATTGAACAGGCAAGGAAAAAAGTGATGAATGCACAAACAGAACCTTCACCAATAGAAACATGCAGCCACAATCGATATAGTTGAAACAATGCATTAAAAACAATGTGAAACCAGTGTGAAAGGTGTCACTTTCTGTGATGATGAACCTACAGAGATTTATCACTTGAATCTGCAGCTCCCCCTGGCCCAGAGCTTGTTTCAGCTTGTTGTTCATCTAGCAACTCTGCTGTTTTAGGCCCAGCCAGCTGATTCTGGTGAAAAAGCGCTGATGCTGTGGTTGTTTCCTGACTTCCTGTTGTCCATAGCAGATTATCACACTCTTGCTCCCAGTTTCATCTTGCACTCTGATTTCTGATATGTTGCTGATTATTTCCCTATTTAACCTGCCACACCTTTCCAGTCAGTGCTGGATTGTTTCTCATCTAGTGCGAAGCTCTCCAGCCAAACAGTGGATGCCTGAGCCTGAACCTGTCACCTCATGATTAGCTTCTGCCTCAGACTCCTGTTTTTGCCTCTGCCTTTGTTGAATCTGCAAGTTTCCTCAGTCTCTCTATGTATGAATGTTTGGGTTGTTTCTGACTCCGATACTGGACCTTGTGTGTTTTCCTGACTGCTCATTGACATCTGTTTTGCTGGTGACTGTGTTTTGTTACCTGCTCACCTGTTGTTGTTTATACAGAGCTATATACCTGTAAAGAAACCACTTACCTGTGGACTCACCTGCCTGGTCTGCTTCCTCTGGGTAAAGAAATCTAAATATACTCATGTTTATTTATACCTGTATGGTCCACCGTCCTCCTGCAGAGAAGCCACATCATACTAGCCTGCCCACTTACCTGGTCCACCATTTTCTACACATGCTGCCATCTTCTCTCTGCCTCCAATGCTGTCTCTGGATTCCAGCTGTCAGAGTTCCACTTTTCTCCTGCAAGAAGAAAACCCCTCATATCTGTGAGTATGGCACTCATCTGCTTTGTCTGCACTTCTTAGGAGCCAAGGAGACAGGGCTGCTGTTGAGTGCCACCTGCCTGTGATGCCAGACTTGTGCTATAACCTTCTTTCGCTGCTCTCCACCTAGAGTGGCTTTGGTCCATCTACAATCCCCACAGTAAATCTTTAAACCTTTTGAAATACTATTTTCCTGTGTCTTGCATTTGGGCCTAACCATTTACTCAAACATAACATTGCTTTCCAAGCACCAAATGGCAGACAACTAGCTGGGGAACATGCTGGAGCATTTAGTAGAAAAAGAGACATTTTCCTCAGGATTAGCTGGAGACCAAAGACAGAGATAAAATAAGAAAGAAAAAAGAGTCACTATTGGATTTATATTTGCCAGCTAGACAGAGACATGACTCCACATTAATGCTTATACACCTCTATAACTGCTAGATATTTATAATTAGGCCACTGTGCGCTAACAAATTTGCCATAACAGCATAATACCTGATGTGCCAGTGTTGTGTTCACAACTTGTTTCGTTTGGCCCCAAGGTATCCAGAGTTAAGTGATTAAGGTGTCACAGTAACATCCATACTGTTTACAGTTTTTCTGAATTGCTAAAACACGTTTCTTGAAACCACCACTCATTTTCTCAAAACCTTAAACACAAACCCAAATACTCAAACTAAATTCCCAAAACCTCTGACTCATCTGGCAAAATCAAGCAATTGCTTCTAAACCAGGTCAGCAGCACTCAAAATCAAACAATGCCTTCAGACCATACACACGAGTCAATCATATACACACTGCAGCTCAGTCATTAGACACTACATCAAAAAAGGAGAACACAGCATCCAGGGCATGTAGTTACAAAAAAAAAAGTTTATTGTATAGTGAATTTACCAAAAACCATGTTACGATCAAAAAAAGAAGAAGAAAGAAAACATCAGAAAGATTATTCTGCCTCAGGATCACATCTTTGAGCTGGGCCCGGCCAGAGGACTTCACAGGCAATGTCGTCCCTTGCCAGGCAATGGGCAAAAAACCCTCTGGTGTGGTGGATCCAGCCTTGACAAGACTGCACGTCTATGTCACCGCAGGCCAGTTCTATTGCCTGTAAGAGATTTTCACTGGTATATGGGTTTCAGTCATAGACTTTCCACCACCATGCAGAGAAAAACTCTTCTATTGGGCTGAGGAAAGAGCTGTATGGTGGAAGGTCTTACTCTTCCTCGTCCTTTTTGTCCAACACCTCATATTCCTCTACCTCTCATATTGTTCTCCATAGTTGATGGATGTACCTGTGCCATCTGTGCACTTTGAACTGGCTTATGATTTGTACCTTCTCATCACATAATTAGAAACAAGTGTGAACAATTTTAAATCGTTGTGTGTAAACGGTGACAACTGTGCTTTAGTTGTGTTTAAGTTCTGCTGTCCTCTGTTTAGTGTTTTGCAACACAGGTTCATCACAGTGTGAATTGTGTTTTAGTGAGAATGTGTTTAGAGTTTAGCAAAAAGAGTGCATGAGATCTGCAAACAGAGTCTAAGTGCCTGAACTGGTTTAAGGTTTTGCAGAAAGAGTGATTTATTCAACAAATTGGTTTAGACTATTGAGAATTTGGTTCAGAGAAAAGGGTTTATTGTTTTAGCAATTGTGAAAAACTGTAATCATCACTTGGGGATCAAACACCACAGAAATGCACCCCAACTTGCAGCCACACTTAGAGCAATTTAAATCTGATCCAGCTTCTCATGGATTTGCTCCATTTCTCTATGGAGATGAATATTATTGCTCTAACCTTTTAATGAAATGTTATCAGTCAAGCACAGCATGATAAAGGCAGCTTAAGAGGTTTTTTTTCCACATCACTGAACAATAAGCTAATGGTTAACACACAACAGTCAGCAACAGCTCTTCTACTTTGACTTTAACATGACCTTTGAGTCTTCTGGGAAATCTACTCAGCGTGAGGGAGCGCAGTAGGTATGGCCTCTGCATGGTCAAAAACAGCTGAAGAATTTTCCAACCAACCAACCAATCAATTTCCAAACCGCTTAGTCCCAAACGGGGTCACGGGGGGCTGGAGCCAATCCCAGCCAGCTGCGGGCGAAAGGCAGGGTCGAAGAATTTTCCATTTTTTGAATTTTATAATTCATATCTATGTTGCTTAAAAATGCAATAATTTTTTTGTTGGATTTTCTCATTCCATTATTCTGTTGGATTTCTCTGTAGGTAGGAGTCTTGAAGAACAGTTTGATGTGGAGTCCATTACATACTCACTCACAGTACATACTGTATGTGTGACTATTCGGTTACAATGAACTGTTAGTATACACTTTTAAATTGTCTGTAAAGTGGTCAAATGGTAGAATTTTTTGATAATGTTACTTGTTAATGATGTAATTTTCAAATTTTATGGACTATATCTTTTGCACATCTCTAGTTGGTTCTGAGACAATCCTAATTAGAAAAAGACATTGTTTATTTCCATTTTTAATCATGTTTAATGATCACACCACTTAAACAAAAAAAGCTATTTCATTTTTATGGCAAACATGTTGAAGTTCGTATAAGGCAATCACAGCTAGACTGCTGAACGACACTGCCCGTGGCATACAAACCGTGCAGTTAATGACAACATTTGGTTTCAAGCTGTAGGCTACTGCGTCAAAACTAAATGAGTCTAGGAAAATGGCACTGATCTCACACTGTTCGGGGATGGTTTCAGATATCTGGAGAGCCAAACATATCCAGAAAAGTATGTCTGTTTTATCCCTTGGCATTTTTTGGGAGGTGGTATACTGGGTGCTGACGTGAATAGCGCAGCCCATCCCCTGTTATAATGTGAGGGAAAAGGTCCAGACGCAGAGTAGTAGAGTGTAGAGTGGATGGGTGCGCAGACGCATCAGGTGAGCACCAGGAGAGGCACCAAGACGCACAGCGGCACGAATACTGTACCCAGAACCAGATAGTATTTGGGCTTTTTCTTCTTTACTCGTATTAGTAGGGTGAGTTATAAGAATAAAGTGGAGGATTTGGCGAAACACCGAGATAACACTTAGATAAAGACCGAGGAAAGCAGAACTACTTTCTAAAGAGCGCTAATGGGCACGCACTGGACCATAAACCCCAGCTGTGAAAACTCCCTGTCCTGAAGCAGCAGTGGAACACAGACACCCCATAGGTGAATCTGGTTTTGAATTCATCCAAGAAGTAAAAGAAAAATCATGAACTTGTCAGACTCTGTGTGGCTCTTGGAAGAGCCATGGAACATCAGCAGGGCGGAGGCAGAAGATCAAAAACTTTTATTCGGGATCGGCACGGATAATTTCATCACGCTGCTGGTTTTCGGGCTCATCTTTATGCTCGGTGTGCTGGGCAACTCCATGGTGATCACGGTGCTGGCCCGGAGCAAACCTGGGAAACCGCGGAGCACCACCAACATCTTCATCCTCAACCTGAGCATAGCGGACCTGTCCTACCTGCTCTTCTGCATCCCCTTCCAGTCCACCATCTACATGATGCCGACGTGGGTCCTGGGAGCATTCATTTGCAAATTCATCCACTATTTCTTTACTGTGTCCATGCTGGTGAGCATCTTCACCCTTTCTGCCATGTCCGTGGACCGATACATTGCCATTGTGCACTCCAGAAAGTCCTCCTCAATTCGGGTGGCGAAGCATGCTTTCATCGGGGTGGTGGTGATTTGGATACTGTCCCTGGTTATGGCAGCGCCTGTCATGTATTACCAGAACATTTTTCACAGAGGGGAGAACTACACTTTTTGCTGGGAAGTGTGGCCCGATCAAAACCAGAAGAAAGTGTATGTCGTGTGCACGTTTGTGTTTGGCTATGTGTTGCCTCTGCTGCTGATTTCCTTCAATTATGCAAAGGTGAGAAACGCTAATGACATGGGTCATTTAATGAATATGGACAGTGCTGAACTATCAGAAAGCTTACCTGTGTCCTCTTGCTTGCAGGTTTTAAATCACTTACACAAAAAACTAAGAAATATGTCCAAAAAGTCAGAGGCGTCAAAGAAAAAGGTATGTGTAAATTTATTGGTGGGCTTGGGGTTGGATAACAGCCATATGTTTGTGAACTTGTTTGACTGTGATCAGTAACAAACACAGTAAATACCAGAAAACAGACTGGGAGACCAGTTACTGCAAAGCTGCATCAATCTGCACGACTTAATAAGGAAATACAACTGTGGAAAGTTTAAGTTCCAACACTGTAAAGGAAATCCTGTAAGAATAATGCTTAAATCACTGAAATTACTTAACCTATGTGTTACACCACCATCTGCCATGACAACGATAATGTTGCTAAAGATAATAATAAATGTAAATGAAGTCAGTCTTTACCGATTCTTAAGCAAAAGCACTCACTACTTGTATGTTACTGAATAGCCTCCATGCAGTATGTCTAGCTCAATGTGTTCATACTGTAGTTCACTAAGCTCTCTCCCTTTTTGTCTGTTCACATACTGTATGGCTTGAGTCAAAGAGGAGGTCCCTGACCTTTAGGATATATTTCACAGCTACTTGCACTTTACTCAGCCAGGGACCAGTCTGTCTCCATCCTATGATTTACCATTTCTTCCAGTTCATCAGGCAGCCAGAGGTAACAGTTTCCATCCTCTGTTTTCCCTTAGATTAAAAAAAACAAAACTATTAATTAAAGCTCTAGTACACTCCAGCAATGTGACCAAAGGGAAATGTGCAATCAAACCTCCATCTAGATTTCCTTATTCTAAGTGGAGGTCATTTCTTTTCCCAGAGAGCTGCTGTTGTCCACTTGGTTGTTGATCTGTTTGTCCACTGTTCTTCACAGCTGGTCATTTTAGCAGCACGTTGTGAATCGTGCCTTGTGCTATGATCTGAGAGGGAAGGGGCTGATGAGAATGACAGTGTGTTTTTAGTACACCTCCATATACCGTACATGCTTTATTGCATGAGGCTTAAAACAACAGGGGAGAGTAAAACAGGAATCTCTGATAGTTTGATGATTTACTGTGCAGAGGACTGGTGGAGCATGCACGGAGGGAATCAGACACTGACAGCCTTGTGATAAATGGCTGGGAAACAGTACATTAACCTCAAACTGTAATAAATAATTTGAATTGATAGGGTGGCTACTCTCAAATTATAAGTAATGGGAGAGCAGACCGTTATCAAATCTGAGTAAGACAACTACTTCAATAATGAGATGTGATGCTGCCAAAAAGGAGTACTTTTACATTGGCAGCTGCAAAATTCACATTTGTGCGTTTATGAATACATGAATATGGTGTTAGTGCCAAAGTCCTTGTTTCCTTGGCAGTGTCAGTGTGTGTCAGTTTTAATGATAAGAACAGTATGTAGTAGCTTGTGGAATCAACAGAAAATGAATCACACACGCAGCAGCGATAACATTTCTGTAGATCAGATACTGTCTTACCATTATTTGAAAACAGAATGATGTAAAACTACCCACAAAATATTGATTTATACTGTGTCAGATTATTTCAAAATGTTTGTTTTTTTTTCACTTCATTCCATGGTGTGAGATCAACGTAGAAGTGCTGTCAGGCAATGCCTATTTTTAAGCGGAAACTCCTTTTGGTACAACAACTCATGTCACAAGCCTCACATGATTCACCTCCTTGGCTCCGTTCTCCTCACTCTGACTGAGATCATGCAAAAACACAACCTGGCTCTTTTGTTGTTTGTTTTTCCTGTGAGAAACTCAGCACACCATAATTGTAAGTGTGTTAGCTAATGATGACAATGTCCCCTAGATGTCACCACTGTCAACAGTTTGACCACAGTGACTCTATGGACTGTAGATCAGTGCTTGCCGAGAGTTAGATCAATACCTCTCATACACTATATCTACAGCTACAGCCAGGAAATAGTTAACTTGTTCCAGTTGTGAAAGTGTTCCTGAGATACCATTAGCCCCAGGAGACAGGAGCTTCCACTTTTGAAGCCTTTTCTCTCATACAAACAAAAGATAAAATATGGTGATATATGTGTAGTCATATCTTCACACCCTCTGTGTTTAGGCTCTAGGAAGCAGTCAAAATCATCTCCATGATAAAAAGCTTGTCTGTTTGATGGATCTTATCCCAGGTAAAAACGTTGGGGGATGCTATGAACTCATCTTTAGTCTTCAGTGATCTATCTCTGCAGCAGCAGAAGCAGCGCACTTGAGACAGGCTTTCAGAACCTCCTGCAGGTTAAAGTGGACTAAAAATGCTTTTAGTGCTGACTAACTTTGAAAGACACCTAGACTTAAAAACACTTGCTACAGTAGACTAGCAGCATTAAGGCTTGTGATGTTGTGAGCAGGTTGGCACAGTGGTTAGCGCTGTTGTCTCACAGCAAGAGGGTTCCGGGTTCAAGTGTTCTGGGGCCTTTTTGTGCAGAGTTTGCATGTTTTCCTGCGCGGGTTCTCTCCGGGTACACCAGCTTCCTTGATGTATTTGGAGAATGTTGTTAGTAAATGCAAACAAATGCTGTTTAACTTCTTTTAAATTTGTTCAATGGAATGTTTTGTGTGTTTTATTTTGTTTTGTACTGTAACTGCCTACAGAGGCTTTGCAGCGACTTTGGTACAGGTATGTTTGATACTTCTGTAATCTTTTTCCCTAAATGGGAGATGTTGTCATTTCAAATTCTTAATACCAAGTAGGCTGAGTGTTTTTCTAACTTAATTATGACAGATATATGTAAATGTGTGTGCAGTATGTGCAGAACAATTTATTGTCCAAATGCAATGACTGTGCGGAGTCTCTGCTGATGAAATAGCTCCACAATGAGCCCATATAAATCCAGAACTTGGTTCAGTTTTTCTGATAAAAAGATATAACATGTTAATAATTAGTCAACTTTAGATGTGTGGGTGGTGTTTATAACCTTTGGACAGAGCAGGCTGGCTGTTCCCCCTGCTTCCTGTTTTTATGCTAAACTAGCTGTCTCCTGAGCAGCATGAGAGTGACTTTATTGCATTTCTGTGCAAGAGAAGTAAGAAGCATATCTCCCAAAATGATGAGCTAAACTTGATTATCTCAAATGAAAATTATGTTTGCTCTGACTTGTTGAGCATTGTTGTCAATTAATTATGAGGTTGGTGTGATGTTGTATCTGCAGTCTGAAAGCATTAGCACATATTGTATGTCAAACAAGAGAGGGGCGCTTTCCATAAAAGATGAAATGACACAAATAGATAAATTGCAGTGCGCCACACAGTGGCTTTGTGTTGGCTCACTTGGGTCTCTGCAGCTCACCAACAGGCCTGTGGCATGTAATGTCAGCAACAGCTGGGTAGAGCAAGGTTACTCCCACTGCTTCTGTGAAATACATGTAAACAGTCAGCCAACTTCACAGTCAAGTGAGACACAAAAGCCTACTGTAGAAAAAGTATTAAATCTTTCTTGATCTTTCTGCAAGTTCACTGCACAAAGACGTGACAAACCAGTTTTAAACCTTTACCCCTCTGGTTTTATACTATGTTCAGTTAATCTGGAGTACCGCTGATTTTTGGTTTGAAAAAGCTAAGTCTTTAAGCAGTAGAAGATGAATGACTGAATGAAAGCTAAGTCTTTTTTATTACAGCTTTTGATTAATGCCACTGGGAATACCAGAGTGTTGGATTTCACTTGACTTGGCAAACAATTGTGTTTTAATGGATTCTCAGTCTTGAACCACAGGTTAAAAAGCCAGTAATTAGCAATGTGGGTTTAGAAGCTTTCTTTCAGTGATACCAGCCAGTCAAACGTCCAGATGGAACATGCAGATGGTTATGGATAATTATGAAAATGAACATTTGGCCAATCTTGCCTTGGAATTGTTTAAATGAGGAAATGCTAATGCTTCAGAGACCAAACACCATTTTGGAGTTTACACCCCAGACATGAAATGCATCACCGATTTTCAGTCTCTAGAAAATAGTGCATCATTTCCTCTTTTTCCTAAAACTTGTGTTTAGCTACATTAAGTAACATTGCCACAGTGTTCTTTATCAGGTAACAAAATTGTATTAAATATTGTCCCTTGCAATGTATAGTATGAAAGTAATGTTTTGCCAAAAAACAAAATACACAAAAAGATTTTAGGCTGGGCTGAGGTGGAAGTGTTGATTTAGCAACAAAACAAAGGATGACAACCCTCTGAGCGAATAAATAATGATGTTATAGCTGCAGTGCATTCTGTTTTATCTCTAGGCTGATGTGAGAAGCAGCTTCAACAGAAAGCTCACACAACTACAAATACAGTTACTGACACTTTGAATGTCTAACTGATGCCAAAACCTGTTGATCATCACGGATGTTTTACATGGAGGTTTCTGCACAAATTCTGTTGTAGCTAAACTCACAACATTAGTTTTTGTGTCCCCATTTATTTATGCAGAAAGCAGAAATGCAAGAAAACAGCACAATGAGCCCAGAATTACACAGCACATCACATCATAACAACTGCTAATATTAAAAACAAACAGCTGTTCTGTGTCCTCTCTTTGATTTTTATCACTTCAGTACAAAAATATATTCACATTGCCAAACTCTAACTCTATAAACACATAAATAAGAAGATGGATCATTGTCAGATTAATATCATATCTGACTCTTGACAGCTTTTAATAAATCACTATACACAATTTAATTACCATCTAAGAGCTCTTGACAAAACAGGGTTACAAGTAGAGACAGCATGGCTGGTGTGTGAAAGGCATTTTCTCCCATTTGTTCCTACTTATATTAGCCTTATTGCTGGTTCTCATGGGGCTGAGGGAGGCTTTTCAGACAAAACGCTGTTAACATACACTCACTGGCCACTTTATTAGATATTTGTATGCAATTCAGTGTGACACTAGATATGGTCTAGTAAGTGATGTTTATCTTTGATACATCTGATAAGTTCCATTATACATTTGCTCTGAAAAAGGACAATACTGCACTCAACTCCAGGAAGATCTTAAATTAAACTGGTGAAGCATTTCAACAGACTGCACAAACATTTGCACTAACGTGATATTGCAGTACTTATTAGCTACATCCATAGGTACATTTCATTTATTACAGTTACTTCTGAGCTGAAAAGTTTACTCTGTGCTTTTGAAAAATCCAGTTACACTCAATGTGAAGGCATGAGAATAAATGACCTCAAATGCAGACATCGGTGAGGGATTAATGGGACCATAAGGATTTAATTAATAATTCCAGCAGGGAAACCAAATAACCTGAGGCAACATAGACTAAAGAACTGGCAAGAAAGACGACAGCTGAGAGGAGTGACCCGACAACTAAGACAACCAAATAAGCAACGCAAACACAGGGAGACTCAGCAAAGTAAACCTATAAAATACAAATAAAACAAAGGCTGACAACTGAAAGGTAACTGGGAACACAAAAGTGGGAACTGACACAGCAAAAGACTGGTTTGTAAGGTGACTGATATATAACTAGGGATGTAAGACAAAATAACGCAGACAACTGAAGGACTAACTACTACCCAAATACAAGGGAAAAATATGGAACAACACTAATACAAAAGATGACTAAATATGCAACAACAAAACACTGGGGCTAACTAAAGAAATACAACAATAATAAACAGGCCAGTGAAAGTGCAATAAAGCACAAAGCGAGGCCAAGAATGTACTATCAGCAGACTAATACACATGGCAAACAAGAGAGCACAGATATCTCATTTTGATTAGTGCTGCTTTAAAAATACAACAATAATAAAAGAGTTTATGAACATTGTCCTGTACTTTCAATTACAAAATGTTCCCATGTTTACTACCAAGCCATGTGAGAGTTTGTATCATTTTTCACTGTCACTTGTCAATCTCAGTCTCAGTGACAGCTCCCAGTCGGCTCTGAACCACATGTGAACTAACACTGAAGCAACACAAGAAACATTTAGTAGCCAGATGTCTAATTAATACTGTTAGAAAAGGAAATAGCTCCCACATACTTCTTTCTATATTCACAAAGACCTACTGAAAGCAAAGAAATGGCACTGCAATGTAATTTTTATTTTTTTATTTTACATTAAATGTAGTGAAGAACAAACATGTGCAACTGTCCGAACACTATCTGGCCTGCAATAGTACACCCAGAAAGTCTTGAGATAGTTTGTGCATAAGAAGTGAGCAGTCATCATCACAACATCTGGTTATTAAGGTAGTTTTAATATGGCAGCTTCAGTTCACCACCGGTCATCAAAAGCCTGCAGGTCAGCACAGTATGTACGTTCATAAATGCTGTATATGAGTGCATGCATCCATTTTTTTTTGTGCTGTGCTGCATTATCATCTCCTGACAACTGTGATTTCTGAACATTTTATTTATAATTTCTAACATTTCTTGAGCAAAGCTACAGAAAAAAGGCTGCATTTCTAATGAATTCCAGGCTTTTTATATTTCTTTTTCAGTGATTGGAACTAATTAGTTCTGGAATATATCTACTTGCTAACTTCAGATGCATTGCAGGGGCTCAGCAGATCAGATCAAAATGGTCACATTAAGTTGTGAAGTTCCTCACATTATGACTGCTCTCTACATCTCTAATAGACACATACTGATGACAAGAAGTGGTATGAGTGCTGTCAGTTCCTCATTAATGAATTACCCAAACAATCATTAAGTGAATACACATGTGAAGTATGCGTGCTTATCAAGGGTTTTCTGACCTATCTCAAAAGTATTTAGGTGCCACCTACAAGTCACGACATGTAACCTGTTTTAATGTTTATAACTTTAAAACAGAATTATCTTATTTTTGCCAAGCAGTGAGGTCTTATAGTGCCTTGAGATGAGAAGCTTCAGTACAGACATACTGAATTATTATAAGCTTAATGTAGCTGTAGATGTGTACACACGATGTATGCGATGTACTGTATGGATTAGACAACATCATGTATGTACTGTACAAGTGAATAAATAGTAGGCATGAGCATTTGCACTGTACTCAATTCAGATGTGAGGGCCATCTAAACATTTACAGGATTGCAGCTGGATCTGCTCAGTGAAGTATGAAAAGGACTTTAATGAAATGCATGCGTAAATAGGCAACTTTCTGCTAACATGTCATAAATACCATATGCCAGTTTTGTTTAAAAAGTGCAGCTTTAAAGGAAATATTTTGGAAGACTGGCCTCTTGCCTAACCTAGCCTTTAAATAATGACAAGATAATTTCTTACTCTTGAATCCTTTTTGTATCTCTGGTGGACTATTAACACCATGCAAACACGTGCGCAGACACCAGGCTTTGTAATAACACACATAAATACCTTGGCGTATTTGATATACTGTATTCAAAGGGTTTGGTATATTATAGCACATAGTGGAATAAAACAAAGAATATCCTAACAGCAGTGACTGCAGCAGGAGAATATTAACATCAACATGTTCTGAAAGGCACTAACTTCTCAAACCTTGGTTTATTCTTTTATCCTGAGTAGCACTCACACTCAAATACAACATCCAAATGTTATTACTATTGTACCTGAAGGCACTGACTAAATCTCTCTACCCCTCTCTGTTCTCTCTTCTTCATTTGTGGATGCCAGACAGCTCAGACGGTGCTGGTGGTGGTGGTGGTGTTCTGTATTTCTTGGCTCCCTCATCACATTGTTCACCTCTGGGTGGAGTTTGGGACCTTCCCACTGAACCAGGCCTCTTTCGTGTTACGGGTGGCTGCCCACTGTCTAGCGTACAGCAACTCATCCGTCAACCCGGTCATCTACGCCTTCCTGTCAGAGAATTTCAGGAAGGCCTACAAGCAGGTGTTCAAATGCCAAATCGGTGCCAGTGACTCACCACTCAATGACATCAAGGAGATCCGCAGCAAAGCAGACACGCCGCCCTCGACTAACTGCACCAACGTTTGACTGACAAGGTGTGGATGGTGACAAGAAAATTAACAATGGAAACTGTCACACTGAAACTCAAAATAAAGTCACTGTGACAGAACTGTCAGATATCAGTAGGTGTGTTGATTTTTTGTAGGTAAGTATGTTTGACTACGACTGTCCTGTTCTACAGGCGCTGCTCATTATACCTGGAATAGAGTCGATAAAGCCACTGTGGCTGCAGACTATGCTCTCCTTGAATCAGTCTGCATCTGTTCTTTAATAATGAAATCTTGTGGCAGTTGAAACACATAAATGATTCCCCTCTTAGGTAAAACCCATTTTGATTACATATGCCACTTCACTGTATATTTACAAGCCAGTGTATTCAAGATATGAGGTACAGTAACTGTACTATCAGACCTAAGTGTTAAAAATCTCAATTAGTACAAAAGTAAACAAAAAAAGAAAAGAAAAGGAGAGTAAGGACCACGAAATATTGAGTGAAAACGCTGCTACAGTAAAACTACTGTCTCTGTTCTATCTCAAGAACAGAAGTGTGCTTGCTTTTTTTAGGAACCTGTAAGGGATTACAATTTCAACTCCAGTAAAGAATTTACTCTTATTAATCCCAGTAATGCTCCGTTGACTGATTTGCTGTCTTATCAGAAATAAGATGCTGGGTTGATAGTACTTTTCTGACAGTACTGGCCTGGTATGTGTTAGTTCGAGTAGTGGCTGCTGCTGTCTAATCACTAAAAAATACACATAAACATTTTAGAAGAAATGATCCAATATTGTAAAACAAACAAACAAATACTTTACAGTAGCATAAACGCTCAAAACATTTTAGACCAATGGTATAGCTGGGTTGCTGTAACTTTTCTGTGTGGATACCCTGCTCAGTATTTTGGCTACCAGTTGTCAGTCAGGCTCAGAACTTCCTGTCCTCTCTGTGGTCGACTATCTTTCTGTGAGGTTACTGTGGTCTCTCAACCATTTTCCCCTCCTCATTGTTCTTTCAGCAACACTGTTAGTGGACCACAAATCATTTTGTTCTGGGTTTAAAAAGAGTAAGCCTTTACTTTTGTGGAACTGTCTAACTTGCAGTAGACTGACTTAATTTTCCAGACAATATCTTTGTGAAGCTGCCCCCTCGGCTAGCTGCTGATGGTGTTCAGATAGCATACCTCCAAACCGTAGGCTGAACCTTGGTAGACTACAACATTTTGTTTTGTATATCTCCATGTGTTAAATAGAAAAAATGCAGTGTGTGGATGTGGAGTTATGGGGATGTTAAAAGGTATGTCAGATGTGTGCAAAGTAACCAAGGTAATGCAAGAAGCTATTACATTTTTAAATAACCTGCACAACACTGCTAAATAAAAGCATCCCACTGTAGATTAGAAAAAATAACTACCATTCCCATCGCACTTAGTACGTGTACAGCGTGTACTTTCAACAGATTTGGTTGTAAATATTATGGACACTGAAGCTGATATTTACATATACCTGTGAAAGCCTCACTCTACTTTTGGTTGTTATGCTATTTCAAAAGTTTTGGATCATACTGTGCTGTGCGACTGAGCCAGGCTGTTGGACACGCAAAGTCACCCTTTCTAACCAATAAAAACATCTACCAGGAGATCCTGTGGAAATAATAAAGAATTTTAATGTTGTATGTCATATATATGTGGCCAGAATCAGAATCCACCTAGCCTACCAAATTGTTAGTGTTGATGGCAAACCTGGCATTGACTAACATTTTCTTTAAGTTTAATAAGCAGCTTGATCTACAGTCCCATGGGGTATTGATGGGTTCAGGTTTTGGCCCTCATTGTGTCAAGTCATGTTATGTCATGTCAGTTATGGCTCACATAATCAGGTTCAATGTGGCACAGTACCTGTGAGGTTTCCTTTCTGGACACCAGGGTTTACATTCGAGGTGGACAGATGCTGACAACCCTCTGCACAAAACTCACAGGCAAGTACTCTTCATGCCTCTAGCTTTCACCCTGCTTCCCTAAAGAAAGAACTTTCTTATTCTTAGTTTCTGAGACTATAACATACCTGCTCCACTGTGGAAGATTTTGAATTTGTCTCAGAAAATTCACAGAATGTTCCAGAAGAGAGCCTATCCAATTAGTTGGCTCGATTCAGCCCTTGCGAAAGTCCACAAAATGGATGTTAACCAAGTGAGGAATCATAGGTCCACAAGGGGTCATTGATGTGTGTGCAACCACTTAATCTCCTCTTAGTGAGGACATTAAGAGAATTATTGAGAAACACTGGGATGTTTTTTTCTATAGATCCAGGTCATAGAGTGCCGTTCCTCTAACACTCCTCCTTTCTCCTATTACAAAGAAAGAAATGCAAGAGATTATCTTGTAAATGCAGATTCTTCCAGTCCTTCTATTTCCATCCATAGAAATGTGGACAGAATGACTGGCTTTTTTCCCTGTTGCAACTGTGTGGTGTGTGAGAATTGTTGGAAAACAAACACAATTACAAGCCACACTGCAGGTAAAACTCTGAGCATCAAACAGTGTCTCAGCTGCATATCAGTGCGTCATTCACCTCCTTTCATATCTGTGTGACATTCGGTGCACTGGGAAAACAAACAATCTGTGAAAATGCACATTTTGGAGCACAGAAGTGCATATGCAGAAATAACTCAGAGTAATTTGTTGCTAGACATTTCAAAGGAACTGGCCATTCAGTCTCAACATTGTCATTGTGTGCCATACAACAAACTGGAAAATCACAAAGAGGTGGTAACACTGATTCAAAAATTACTTAGAGCAGAATCTAAATGGATATTTTACATGAGAACACCACATCCAGAAGGTCTCAATGATGAATTATCCTTGTTTTTGTAACAGTTTATTGTTGTCTTTTTGATCACTGCTATTGTGGTTTTTCTTTTCTTAGATTTATTGTATATGTATATTTCTATATGTATATCTGAATGCGTAGTGGACTGCTATTCTGCTCTTCATGCAGGTTGTGTGATCTGACCTATGTTGCTAATGAGTTCCTGTGAAACACCTTGTGTTCTTGGCTTCCTTTACCCTGACTACTCTTTACTTTACAGTGTAGCCTGAGTGTTATGTCTGTAGAATTACTGGGTCTGTAAAGTTGTGCTGGCAACATTCACGTTTTTTCACTCCATCATTTGTCACACATGTAATAAATGTATTTTTTGGGATCTGAAGAGCCTGTTGTGTGGGCACCTTTTTACATATGTGGAACAAGTATGTTAAACACACACACACTAGATTATTAAAATGAACTGATTGTCCTGCAGTATCGTACAAGGTTTCATGTGCATCTCTGGAAGTAGCGGACTTTTTGCAAAAGTTCACTTTTTATCTAAAAAGTATCCCAAGTTAAGTGCTGTGTGGATTTTCACCTTGAGGTTAGGTAACCATGTTACTGAGGGGAGAAAGTCTGCTGTACATGTTGCTGCAGCAGCTAACACGATTGATTAACACCAGCTTCATCCAGTGTGGAGGATCTAATCAGTCTAATCAGCTGAGTCTCATCGTCCCTGATAGTGAGGTTCTCAGACATGAGAGTCGGGTATTATTCCCAGAGAACAGAGGAGGTGCAGTTGACTTTGCTCACTACAGCACTGATGTTCATTCATTCCCACACAGGACTGAGGGAATGGAATTTCTCTGACAAATACAAACGGTGGACCATTGTTTCCTTCAAATTACCAACATAAAGAGCACATGAACACAAGGATACATTATGTAGAAAATGTATAGTTTTATTTTAGATTATAGCCTACAGATAACAGTGTCATTAGTAAATACAAAATCAGTTAAATTCTCTCCACGTAACTATACCAAGACAAATATGTGAGTACAGGGGAGGAAGACAAATTGTTAGAGATTAAGTTGTGGTTGACAAGGATGTACAAATATATTACACTGAAAGTTTTTTATTTAATAACTATGCAGTGAAGTAATAAAATAGGATAAATGTGGAAATCAGATACACCAGTAAAATAAGTCATTACATTAAATAAAAAATTAAAGTATATGCCCTTGTGAAATTACAATGTAAAATGTTTATAATTATGGGGTGGTTGTTGTTGTTGGCAAACAAGGTTTAGTAAATCTCAGAAAAAGGGTGTGCCTCTGGAGCTATACTACAGCTAGGAAACAGTTGTTTTTGTTTTCAAAACAATAATATAAGAAAATGCTGCAGAACAGTGTCATATTATGTTGTTAGTGAATAACGTAGATAAGTTGTATGTCCAGTCATCTTATCACATTATAAACAGTTAAGCAGCCCTAAGCATATATTACATACAGTATATCTTCAAAATGTTTTAAACTTACTATGTTTAGATACTGCTTACAGCCAATGATGCATGAAATTTTTTGTATAAGATGATTGTTCTGGGGTAGGACTGGATAAGTCTGACTTCTTCCTACTCCATTCAAACATGTGCTGGGTATAAGCAAACTGATTCTGGATTAGCAGTGGTTGGCTTTGTGTAATCATGTGTGTGTGTTGATGTCATTTGTTCTGCATGTTTGAAAGAATAAATCAAATCAAATCAAATCAAACTTCATTGCATATACAGTGGGTATGGAAAGTATTCAGACCCCCTTAAATTTTTCACTCTTTGTTATATTGCAGCCATATGCTAAAATCATTTAAGTTCATTTTTTTCCTCATTAATGTACACACAGCACCCCATATTGACAGAAAAACACTGAATTT